TGCTGCCGCCGCCGCTGCCGCGGCGGCGCTTACCCGCCGCGTCACATCTTTCACTTCCCGCATCTCTTCCGCGAGCCTCCAGGACATGTCGCAGATCACGGCGGCGGGGGCATCGACCAGCGGCGCTGCCGCCGCCGCCGCCGCCGCGGGCCGCATTCCATCGATTACTGTGCACGCTGTCAGCGGAGGTGGCGGCAGCGGCATAGCAGGAACCCGCGGGAGTAGCGCGCCCTCCGCTACGGGCATCCTTGCAGCGGCGGCGGCAGCCGCAGCGGCGCGGTCGCCTTCACTGCCGTCACCTCATCAGCCATTGTTGCGCATAGGCTCCTTCCCCCTGGCCATGCCGCTAGCGTCGGGCCTCGCCCACAGTCCTTCCATGGTCGCCGTCGGCGGCAGCGGAACCCCCGTCGGCTTCGCCTCATCAGGAGCTCCACTCACCATCGCCGCCAGTACGACACCAAACCTGCATCTCGCGTTGCGTTCGACAGCATCGGAGGTAGCGGCTTCAAGAGCCGCTCGGGACAGCAGCGGCGACGGCGAAGCCGCCACCGCCGCCGCCGCCGCCGCCGCCACCCCTGCTTCCCCGGGCCTAGTTGGCTCGGGCAGCGGCGGCGGCGACGACGGCCACGTCTCAGTGCCAGCGCCGCCGCCACCCTCCGTGCGATGGCAGGCGCTGAGTCGTCTTGTTGGTCCGAAGGTGCCGCTACCGCCGGCCAAAAGGTTGGAGGCGCGATTCCTCGGCAGTTACAGGCGAGTGGGGGAGTGGGGGACAAGGGTTTGCGGCGTTAAGGGCGGTAAGCATCCGTAACTATAGCGATAGTGGTATCATTGCTTGTTGTAATTTCCGACACCCCCGCCGCTTCGGCTTTCACTTCCTCACTTCCTATCCTAAGTAGTAGTCTTTCGCGCCACCCCGACGGTCCCTCAGTCTGAAGGGCGTCCGCGAAGAGATGAAGCTGTTCGAGGTGTTTTGGGGGGACGAGGAGCAGCAGCGCTCGCCAGCCAGCAACGCCGGAGGCGTCGGCGTCGGCGTCGGCGTCAGCAGCGACCAAGAATGCGGCCGCAGGAGTGACGGCGGCGGCGGCAATGGCGATTCTCAGCGCCACGCCCGCGCTGACGTAACGAGCCGCGGCAGTGGCCTGGGGGTTGCAACAAACGCCGTGGAGGCGGCGGCGGCGGCGCAACAGCAGCAGCAGCAGCCAGGCGCGGTCGTGAGGGATGGCCTGGCAGGTGTGGCGGCGGCGGCGGCGGAGAGAGGGGATACCTGGCTGGCAGGGGCGCGCGGCTACCTGCCAAAGCTGCCCGCAGTGGGGACTGGGTCGTCGCCGTTCACGAGTACAGCAGGCGCCGCCGTCGCCGCCGTTGCCGCCGCCGCCGCAGCTTCCGCGTCATCGGCGTCGTCAGCATTGCCGCTGGCGGCCCAGCCGGTGATGCTTTCCTCCGCCACCCTCTGGCGCACTCGCAGCGGCAAATTGGATTGGCCTGTCACGGATACGGCAGGCTCAGTGTACGACGACGACCTTTCAACTGGCGGCGCGTTTCATCCGGCAGACACACCGGATGCGCTGGCGTATGGGTCGGCGTTGGGCCCGGAGGCGACCTTCAAAGACGCTACCGCCGCCGCCGCCGCCGGCGCGGCAGCGCCGAACAACGACGGTGGCGGCGGCGGCGGCGGCGGCGGCAGTCCTCAGACCAGAATCCGCCAGTACGGCGGATTGTTTCCTTCAGTAGGAAACACCGTCACGGAGCTGATTTCGGTACAGGAACGGGGGCCAGGCAGCGCTGATGCGGGCGGCAGCGGAGGCGGCGGTGGCGGCGGCGGTGGCAGCCGCTATCGTGCCACGTCTGCCGGCGGCGGCGGTGGCGGCGGCGGTGGCTGGTTGCAGCCGCGGCAGTCACTGCCGTTTCCGCCGCCGTCGGGACACCACCAGCATCAGCATCAATGGGACCCAAAGCGAGTGGCCTCCGGCCCCGATGGAGTGGGAGAACCAGCGACGCCGTGCGGAACGTCTGTTCCGTGGTCGGTGCCCGTACCCGTCCTGTTTGGTGTGGGAGAGCGGCCCTCCTCCGCTGTCGCCCAGGCGCGAACTTCCCTCTCCGCCTCACCTGCGGGCCCTCTGGCGCCACCCCGCGCCTCACAGCTACAGCTGCCACAGCTACACCCAAAATCCCAACCCCGACCGTACCTAGGAAACGAGGCTTTGGTTGGCACCAGCGGCGCTGCCAACAAGTCCCCGTGCTACAGCCCAAGCGCCTCCGCCAGCCCCAGTCCGCCTGGCAGGTGCGGCGGTGCCGCCAGCGGCGCCGCCGGCGGTGGCGTCGGCGGGGACGTCAGCACAGGCAGTAGCAGCGGCATACACCGGCGGCGGCACCCGTCGGGGACTATGGCCGTTACGTTCGCTGAACATGCCATACAGGAGCCCGCCAAAGCGCAACCACATAGCCCCGTCGTTGGTTACCGCCACTCAGCCTTCACCGCGAGCCAGGCCACACGTACGACACACTGCGCCTCCCGACGAGCCGGAGCATCCACGGGTCACCTGGAAGCCGCCGCCGGCGGGGGAATGGCGGCTCTGGCGGCGGTGCAGCAGCCGCCTCCGCCGGCGGAAGCGGCCGCTGCGCAGCAGCGGCAGGTTTCCGCGACGACGCCTGTACGGGTGCTGCAGCCGTCGCCGCTGGCGCCGTCGCTAGAGCCTGTGCCGCTACCTGACCTGCCGCCGATCCACACGCACCGGCGCATGCAGCCCCCGCCGGTCTGGATGGTCGACGGCGCGGTCGCTGCAGCTGCCGCGGACATGAGCGATATGTACGGCCCACGTCGCCCAGTGCCTTCCGCTGCGGTTGAGGAGATTGCGGAGGAGGAGGCCTCTCCAGGGGAGGCGCTCAGTGCTGCGGCGGCGGTCAAGTCGGAGTGCGGCCGCGGAAGGCGCTACGAGCAGCGCCCGGGACCTTTGCGCCACGATGGAGGCAGCAGTGACGACGGCGACGCTGCCGCTGTGGCGGAAAAGCCCACGCCAGTGATTGTGGCGGCGGCGGCGCTGGCGGCCACCGCCTACACTGACGACCACGATGAAAATCGAGGAGCAGGACGAAAAGGTGGACGAGGAGCAGGAGGATGAAGAGAAACTGCGGGTGAGCTGGCGATGGTGGTTTGACGGTCGGCCTGCCTTCCCTTCCCTTCCCGGGGGGCCGCCCCCAACAATATCTGCTGGTAGATGGTCACTGCTTTTTCCGATACTTGCTGCTGTGGAGTGCTGTGCTTGTGTTTTGCTGCTGGCGCCTGTCTGGGGCTGTGACCCACCTCCTGCACCTCCTCCTCCTCCTCCTCTTGCCCAGGACAGGGCAGAACATGACAGTGCAGGGCCTATGGCAAGCTGTGTGGCCATTAGTGGTCCCTAATCCCCAGTCCTATTCACTTTGCCCGGCCCTGGCACTCTACTTTTGCTACTTTTGCTACAATTGGCAGGAATTGCGCAATTAGCCTGTTTTTTTTCAAATTGTCGCACGTTGCAAGTAATTTAGTTCTCCCGGCCTGTGCTGTCCCCTGCTTCCCCGCCCGGCCGCCCGGCTGTCAGAAGGAGTCGTAGGGAGGCGTGCTACGAGGTCCCGCCTCTCAGCCCCTGAGCTGCCGCAGAGCGCCCGTCGCCCATCCCGCCCACCCACACCTCCCCCCCTACACACCAAACACACACACCCGTACACACACAGGACATGTCCCGCAACCTCAGGCCGGAAAGTGCCATAGCTTGGAAGCAGTGACAAAGTGCCGCAACAAAGAGAGAGGCTAATGCGGTGCCGGGTGTTGTGACGGGTCTTTCGGCCCTATCATCGGTCACGGAAGCCTTCATCAGGCCCAACATCCCGCATCAATCGGCTCTTCGGTCAGATCATTAGTCCTGGACCTCGCTGTCCGGTCACCACCAGCAGCACCACCAGCAACAGCCCCTCGACGGATTATTGGAGCCGAGCAAATTTACATATCGTACATATAAATGTGAACATGTTGGTGCCTTCGGGGTGCATCTGTTAGCGCACGATGCCGCCACCGTCATGCGGCTGCAATTTCAGGTGGATTGCAGTTACAGTTGGCAGTTGTGACCCACCAGCATTTGTCCAAATATGTTTATGGCTATCTTATCGTCCCCAACTAATTGCGTTGGGATGGAGATGTGAACTCCTTGCATGTGTCGAAGCGTCGCGGTGGCGTACCGCCGTGGGAATTAGTGTACGGCAATTGTGAAATAACATAGCAGCAGCAGCAGCAGCGGAGAAACGGTTGCCATTCTCCAACGTTAGGCCCAACGGTCGCTAACAGAGACGACGACAACGACGACGACCCATGGCGACGCTGATGTGAAGATGGACGGCCACATAATGCCGTCATGCTGCGCTGTCATGTTGCCGAGTGCACTTGCTGCTGTTGAAGTAATAGAGCAAAGAGAGAAAGAGAGAGAATGTGTCGATGGGCATTGTGGTGTTGGGAAGGCGAAAGAAAAAGGCTGTTGGCCTTCGTCATCAATTGTACCCGCCTCCTCAGCGACTTGCGCGCCCATCGCTTCCATCGCCGCCTCACGTTGCCCGGTTCTGCTGTTGCTGTGTTATCAGCAACGTCTAGCTCTCGAAGGTGAATAATGCGCCAATGATATATCGATGGATAATCAACGAACAAACAAAAATCGAAAAGGTTTGCTGCTTGCTTGCTGTGCCCTCATAAGGCTTGGATTCAGTGGTCTTAGTGTCGTACCTTACAAGGTCTTAAGCACGCCTGCAGTAGCAGTAGCAGTACCGGAAGCAAAGCCAGTGTTAGGTAATGCGTGTTTGCGCAGGGGTTTTAGGGGGGGTATCGGGGGGCCCCCTTCCCCTCCGCTGGGGAGGTTGAGGTTGAGGGGTAATGGATCGAAACATTGGATGTAAAGGGCCTCTTTTGCTTTCATGAACTGAGCCGCAAAAGGGATATATTGAGGCTTAAGCTGCAAAAAGAGCAAGTTTGTGTGTGTGTGTGTGTGTGTTTGTATGTGTGTTTGTGCGTGTGTATGTGTTTGTGCGTGTGTGTGTGCATGTGTCTGTGTGTGTGAGAGTGTGTCTGTGTGTATATCTGTTACATATCGATCCTGGGGCCTGACCCTGGCCTGGGGCACCTAACCGTGATACGACCGCCGAAGTACTCCATCATTGGAGGGGCGTTCTTTCGGTCAGAGTCCTTATCAACGCAAGGCGCCGTCACCTGTTCGAATCCTGTAGCCAGCGACTTTCCCCTCAGCTCAGATGCCAAGCAATCCCCATTCCCTGGAACGCATGTTCTACAGCTACACGATCTACCAACGTTATATGTGCGTGCGTGGGTGTGGTGGCGTGTGGTGTGGTGTGGTGTGGTGGGGTGGGGTGGCCGTGATGCGGATGTGTGTGTGGTCAAGATCATCTCCGAGGTTTAAACGCATACAGAGGATGCGGATATGCGCTGCTCGGTTCCACCGTCACACGCGCCCCGTCGCGAGGGCGTGCCCTGAAAAGCCTAAGGTGAAGCCAGAGTGAAAGCGATGTGGCTTTGGCGCCTTTCGCGTCTTCTTTTCTTTGCTTGGGGCTACCTTGCCGGTGCACCAAGGACAGCGTCTGGCTGGCAAGGCAGGACAGGGTGGCGAGTGGAATGCGCTGCCATTTCAGGTGATCGTACTATTGTATAAAACACATCACGGGTTATTGGCGATCCCGAGGAATAGATAATGATGACGATGATGATGTTAATGATGATGCCTGTTCCGGGGGATTGGGGACCTGGTGCCCTCGCCGACCCCGGGCTGTGACAAGGGCGTATGCGCACCCACACTTCCACTTCCACTTCGTGGGGGGTCTCGTGGCTTTAATAGATCTGATTTGGTTTTTATCAAGATTGGAGTTATGCGGAAAACAACCATTTAGTTGCTAGTACGTGGGTGGGGAAATTCGGCTGCTTTACTTTGCCTTGCCTTGCCTTGCGGGGCGGTACATGTGTAGTACGTTGTTGTGATTTGTAGTGCGTGTTAGGAAAATATCTTTAAATTTTGAATAGTTTTACCGACGACGTCGCAGGCGAAATCACGTGTCGACATACTCATTGTCGTCTTAGTTGGTTCATTGAGTCCATTGACTCGTTCTGCGCGGATTGATCACTTTTACTTTGTCCAAGCGAAAGGAGGTTTGAGGCACACATCGCGCACAGGAATGGAATGACTGCAATTGGGCTCTGTTGCCGCGGTTGGTAGTTGGCAGTTGGTGGTTGGGAGGGCCGTCCCTTCAGAACATGCAAGGGAATATTGCGGCGCTCCGACTAAACAAACGTAGAGGTGAAAGCAGCATAGAGAGGCGCATGGCGGGGGTTGTGTGATGTGCAGCCTTTTCGGCGCATGTGTGGGCCTATCCGCCCTTCAACACAGGGGGTCCAACAACACGAGGAAAGCGGAATAGCGTGGTGATGAACTCGCATCATTTGGCGGTAAAGTGTGTAAATGGTGCGGCGGTTTTATTACCCGTCCCCGGAGTTTAAAAACCCATTGTTGCGGTTTCAGGTGGGCTGCAGCCCCCACCAGTTTGCCTGCTTGGCTTCACCGACGAACATTCTATCCGCGGTTATTTCATACACCGTACCTTCTAATAAAGTTATGGACAACTATTAAAGTTCTGGGAGCCCTTGGAGGTCATGTCGTCAAGCTGCATGGTGTGAAGAGGGTGCGATGTGGAGTGGCGGCGAATTAAGGCGCGGCGCCGTACATCGCAGTGCGCCGTACATGACGCGGAGCCGAAAGGGCAGTGAGGGAGGGAGGAGGCATATCCACCTCCGCAACCCTCCTGCAAATCAGCGGCGGTCTGACGGGTCAGCGGTCACCTGGGCCCGTCTCCCCTCCCTCCTGCATCGCCAGCCCTCGGCTGCAGTCACCCAGGGCCACCTAATTCATGACCACGCACCGCATCTGCTTTTCCTTTATTCAACCATTCATGCATGCATACGCATACATGGACGTGCTGCCACCTTGTCGTGCTTTTGTCTGGAGCTCTGCAGGTGGTGGTTGTGGTCGATAGCGGTGGGTGGAGTGGGGTGGTGAAGGTCAGTGTTGAAGGGTGTGTGTGTCTGTGGGAGGGTGCCCAGGACGTGAGGGTAAATGCATAAAATGTTTCCTGGCTGTGTGCAGGTTTCGCTTTTAGAAAAACAATTCGGTGTCCTTTCATTTCCTGTCTCGCGTGGTCATAACACGACGTCTAAGCCCGGACCCCGAAGGGGGGGGGAGGCCGGGGAGGAGGCCGCGGGCCCCGTCACGTGTTGTTTAGAAATGGAGCGGCTCGAGTGACGGAGGGGATGCTACTCTCTGCAACAATGATAACAACAACACCTCTCCAGGGCAGCCCCCGACAGCAGGCGGGACAGCGAGAGCAGAACACGTTCCAGCTCTCCTCTGGCGCCCGAACCAGAATACACCGCGCAGCCCTCCGCTCCGTCGTTTCCCCTCCACCCCATATCCCAAAAGGCCGAGAGGTCCCCTACACGGGCCCGCCGAAGAGCAGCCAGCCGCGGGTTGGCAGCAGCACAGCCCCGGGCGCCATTGTAACCGTGCAGGCGTGCATCGATCGATAAGATCTTAGTTGGCCTACTGTTGCGCAACGGTACAGGTCGGTACAGAATACTACTGGTACCCTATAAGCCCTAACGCTATTTTTTTTACGCTGGGGAAAGCCGGCCCAATAATTTATGAATTACAGCTGGACTGCCGCCAAATTTCTTAGGGGATCAGAAGCGCTAATCCCGAATTTAAACCCGTCAGTCGCCACGACAAACGCGCTGACACACACATACATACATACACACACAGGCACACATACAGACACACACACGTATGGGCCCCAGGAACCATCGCGAGGAGGTGAAGGCTGCAGCCTGCTGCACTAGGGCGACACAATCCAACGGGGCATAGCCCGGTCAGCATAGCGCATGGAAATGCGGTCATCAACAACCTCTTCACATTCTTGTAACGCCATGAATGTCGTACTTTCACTTTCCCGAGGGCAAGAATACATTGTTGTTGCAATGGGCTGTCTGCTTCAACCCTATCTGCTGTGTTACGTAATAATACTCCCCCCCCCAGTTCTAATATCCTTATCTTCATGTTCATCTGCACAAAGGGGGGGGAGGCCAGACGTGCAGAGGCTCCGGCAACCCCCTTTCCCCCCCACCCCCCACCACACACACAAACCCCTCTCCCCCGTCAGAGAGACATAATGACGGGGAAAAGACGCAGTTCCGCTTCATGCGCTGACTTCCCCCTTCCTTCCCCAGCTCAAACCCTGTTACCCGGGCGGCCGGCATTCCCCCTCATTCGTTCGGGATAATATCCACATGACATCAACCTGAAGCGCTTTGCTGCCGGCTTCTTCTTCTTCTTCTTCTTCGACGCAATTCCCTTTGATAACGTGACAATCGTACGAACACCCGTGCCATTACCCCTATCCTAACCCAGCACGGCGCGGCAGGCAGGTACGATGCAATGATCAGGGCCCAGACGATACTTACCCCCCCCCCGGGTAGCGCGAGGAGGCGCAGGAGCCCCTCTTCGTGATCCAGGGAGGGGGAACAAGTGTGAAACCGCGCGCTCAAAGGAAATGGAAGCGATCCGGTTGGAGCGGTAGTCCCTACGCCCCTAGCGCTGTGGCCCTGGCGCATTAACCAATCGAATACAAATTGCCCTTCGTCGTACACAGCAACAATTGTCGTATCACCATCAATCGTACATCTGCCATCGTACATCAGGGTGTTGAGCAGTGTGACTGGAACCAGGAGGTGTAATCATTTGCTGCTCAAACGGCGCAATGCGAGATGAGGCCGATGCATACAACAACAGCAGAACTAACAGAACATTCTCCGTTTTATTATTATTATTATTATTATTATTATATTGATTATAATTAAGACTGAAGTACGGCAGCGGAAATAAGCTGTGGGCCCACTGCACCGCCACTGCTCGAAATACGAAAGACATGTGAAAACACAGACACCAACACAAACCCACACAAAAGCGCGCGCACGGGGGCCGCAAATGAAACAACCTCCATCCATCCTCGGCAGCAGCAGCAGCAGCAAGACACACACAGACCAACAAGAACCAAAAAGCTATGCAAGCAATTGACATCCGAAAAAAGAGCGACGTCTAACGGCGGTCATGAACTACTTTTTGCATTTGCACCGGGGGGGGGAGGGGGGGGAGGGGGGGGAAAGGAAACCCCCGAGGGCCACCGCCCCCGGGCCGAGGGTGCCTTGGCAACTCGAGGAAAACCCTAATAATGATGATCTCGCAGGACAGGACATGCATTTTATATTGTTGAGACCGGGTCTCAAAGGGGCCAGGAGGGCCTTATGCGATCCCTGAAAACGACGACTGTGCCCCACATGATGTCGTACACCGAAAAACCCTAAGATGCCGTACATACACATGCATGACCCTGTTCGTGACGTTTTGCGCCCCCAGCAAATCATGAACCAATCCCTGAGTATCAAATCCAATTTTCCCCCAAAAGACGGAACCAACCAACCGACCAACCAACCAACCAACCGACAACCGAACCATCAAGCCTTCCACCAAAATCGACACTAAAGTGCAGTAAGTGTGTATGTTATTCTGTCTTCCACCGGGTGACTGTTGCCGACTGCGACATCGCTTCAATTGCAGTTATTTCAGTTGTCGGAGTGCAACTGCCCCAACCGCAGCCGTACGCACGAATTAGCCATTATACCCTAGCAGTTCGATTTTCGCTTCCTAAGTTGCTCAATAATGCCCGGCAATAGATGAAAAGGAAAAGAAAACCCAGTTCCGTTCGGTAGTGGAAATTTGACATCCCAAACCGAAAATATTTCCAACAGAAAACGGCCAACGAACAGCGGAAAAATACATGCACACATGCAGCACGAAAGCGGACATGCAGCATATGCAGCAGAAATGGTGCGCCACGATGTCTGAGGGGCGATTTCCCTTTTCGTCTCTTCTCTTCGTCCCTTTTTCCATTATGTGCATAAACACAACACGGTTCGTACGGCATGAAAGGATAGATTTAAAACCCGCGCCCGCGCTCGAACCACACGCGCCCAACTGCATGCCGGTTTGCTCGGCCAGAATGCATCCCTGGATGCGTACGGTAACTACTCGCGCCACAATCCGTTACCCAACTCCCAACGCTTTTTCAAATCTTAACCCTCGAATACCATCTCCCCACCGCCCTTAGGCTGCATCAAGCGAGTGCAGTTGCCACTGCGCCTGCTGCTGTTGTAGCTGTCGCTGCTGCTGTCTCACTTTATTAGCAGGTTATTATTGTTGCATGTCTGACAACGATCTTCTGTCCGCGACTGCTACTCCCCTTCCGTTCTCTACTACTGCTACTGCTGCTGTTGCGGAGACCCTTCCCGCTGCTATACGGCATCCTGCTACTGCTACTGCTACTGCTGCTACTGCGGCAGCTTCTGATTGCTTCTCCATGCGCCTGCAGAGCCGAACCTCTTAGTCGCAGATCACCACCACCACCACCACGAACGTGCCTTTTGGCCGCCTTCGTCCGCTTCTCACTCACCCACTCACCCACTCGCGCTCCCGAAGCACAAGGGCACCTGCTGCACCAGGTGCTTGGGTTCAGGACGACCGGGAACGGCGCAACTGCCCGCAGTGTCGCTTGTAGCAACGTCGGGCTGTAGCAGCGGCTCCTCCGGGGATGGCGGCGGCGGCGCCTCGAGCGCCGTCAGGGCGGCAAGGCTATCCGCACCCAGAGGGCTCTCAAAGCTTCGACTGTCCGCGCTGCCGCCGCTTTCCTCGCCACTGCCGCTGCCGCCGCAGCAACAGCTGTTGCCGCCGCCGCTGCCGCCGCCGCCGCCGTCGTCGTCGTTGTTTTCAAAGTGCTGCCGCTGCGGGGTCAGCATCGCCGCCGCCGCTTGGTCCGTAGCCCCGGGCGGCAACCCCAAAACCCCCGATGGTGGTGTGTCGTAATCGTGCTGAGGACAAGTTACGCCGCAGCGGCCAGCAGCAGCAGCAGCAGCAGTAGCGCAAGAAACCGCTAACGGCATCATCGTCGCTGCTGCCGCCGCCGCCGCAACCTTGCCGTCCGCGTCACGATCGTGCATGCCACCTTCATCGTCCCTCTCTCCGTCACCTTCGGCGCCATCGCCCCCACCGCTGCCGCCGCTGTCACCGCGGCCGGCAGCAGCAGCAGCAGCGGGATGAAACCGCGACTTGAATCTGGTATGTAGCGGCACGTTGCTGCTGCCGACTCCCGCTGCTGCAGCGGCCACGGCAGCTGCCGGCACATCGAGTACACCGGACACGGACTTGGCGTGTACCGATGAATCTAAATTACCCGACGAGGCCATGTGGCGAATCTCCTCGGAGATCCGGTATAGCTGCTGACATGATGGAAGCCAATCCGTAGTCAGGCGGAATGGCTTCCCGTCGCCCTCGCTACAAAAGGCTGTCGACTTGGCCGTGGCCGCCGCCGCTGTCGCCGCCGCCGCGGCGGCGGCCGCCGCTGCCTGCAGCCTAGCGGCAGCCCTGTGGACGGACGCGGCTGGTACGGCACCAGGTCCGACGACCTCAGCCACATCCATAGCATCCGGCGGGGAAAGGTCGATGGCGGTGGGCTGGTGGGACATCGGGATGTTGGGTTCGGCGGCTGGGACGGAAGCGAACCCAGGTGGGTTGGTGAGTGACGTGACTGGTTCTGTGGCTGAAGGTGATGCCGCGTGATGTGAGCGGTGGTCCGTACAGTTGTTGGCGGATCGGGACGGTGGCCGCTGCCGTAGGCGCTGTCGGGCTACTGCTGAAACGATATCGTCTCGGGTCTTCAGCAGCAGCTCTCTGTCCTGATAACTGTGGACGCCCGCTTCATTTAAAAGCTGCAGACGAAGTTTCAGGTTAAGAGCATCATATAAAATGCGGTTTGTAAGGGAAGAAGATGTCACGGGAGGGAAGACAATTGAGGGATGTCTGCTCTACGGAAAAAAGGAAGTAAGGTTGGGGCCGTTCAGGTACCTAGCTTAGCATATGGAGGCTTTGGGGCATATTTTAAAAACTTAAGGTGTCGTTGAGGGGGCGGCCGCGTTCGGCGTGGTTTGCGGGACCGCACAGCATGGGATGGAGGAGCTTGCGGCGGCGAGAAGACTAGCTTGCGGCGGCGAGAAGACTGTGATAGAAGTGACGCAACAGTTCCAGGATAATGAGCTTGATGCCAACTTAAAGGGGGAAACGGACCTGTTAATAATTGGATTAGGGCTTGTGGACTCACCTCGTGCGTCCAGCCTTGCATAATAGGGCCGGGACGGCCACGAAGCAGATGGATTCCCTCACCCACGAGACGTCGCGGGAGATGGTCGACGAAGTAATCACAGATTTGCTGCAAGAGGTCATAATATGCAAGGATTTAACAGGGCTCCTCCTTGGCTGCCGGGACGCCGGCAAAGGGCGCCGACAACGACGTCCAGATGAATGTAAGCACGAAGAGTTCTCACCGAATCGGTATAATGATCTGGGAAGGGGTCTTTAACAATGTTCAGCGTTGCGCCTTTATGAAATTTCCCCAGGCATTGACCCATTTAGCCCGGCTCAAGATGACTTCTGCAAGAGCTCGCAACAAGCAAAGCACGCAAATAGAAAATTTCCGGCCAAATTTTAGCACAACCCAGATGGACAAGGCTTAAGTCCGGAAGCTGGGAAGAACGCACTACCCATAAGGCATAGACACAGTCCTGGCACGACGTGCAAATGCAAGTATGAAAGGACAGTAAACTATGAAACCAAGGCAATATTATATAACACTACGATAGGTGCATTGCCGCAGTTGTCTCTCTCGGAAAGACTCGCTATCTGATCGAACTTTCATGCCCTAACGACTCCGTACAGAACGTTTTCCCATTGCACTGTGCAAGCCCGAATCTCTTCGCAATTCGCTACGCAACAATGGACAACCTTTCTCTTGAGCTGGTGGCCAACCTTACTGGCCACCAGGACAGGGTCTGGTCTGTGGCTTGGTCCCCCAAAGGTAAAGTTTGACGAAAATAATTCGAATATTGCATATTAGCACATTTGTACCTCAAAAACCTGATTCCAAGCAGAACCAAAGTTCCCGCCAGCCTTTGTCACGATTCGTTGCCAGAAGCCTTTTCCAAGTGTTTTCAGCAATTACGGAAGCACCACCCATGTTTATAAACTCCAGGCGATTTATTGGCCAGCTGCAGCGGTGATAAGACCGTGCGGATATGGTCGCGGCGCACCCCGGCTCCTTCCACCATCGCCGCCACAGCAACCCCAGAGATTTCCACCGCCAGCAAACCCACCGGCGCCGTCTGCTCCAGCGGAAGGCAGCACCCCGCCGGTGGCGTGCAGCAGCAGCAGCAGCAGCAGCAGCAGTGGTACTGCTGCGCCATCCTGGATCAATGCCATTCTCGCACAATTCGCAACATCGCCTGGAGCCCCAACGGCAGGGCGCTGGCCACCGCCAGCTTCGATGCGACTGTTGCCATTTGGGAACTTTCTGGAGGAGTTTGGGAACAGGTCGGTGGTCGGGTCCACCAATGGAGGAGCGGTGGATCTAGCTCTCCGACAACATCGTGTGCTCATGTGTCGCTTATGATATGAAGGGGAATAAACCACTTCAAAGGGGTGTTGTTCCCTTTTCGGAGGGATGATGGTGTCAGAGGGGATGCCAAGGGTGGGCCGTTTGGCGGCACGGTTAAAATTTCTTTCGGAACTTGGCGAGTGGGGTTCGTGCTGCTTATTCGTCGTGGGTGGGGACGGGTGAGGGCGGTGGGTGACGTCGTGAGGTAAATAGACCTCCACTCGCCGCCTGCCCCACCTTTTTGACCTCTGCCTGCGCAGGTCGCGGAGCTGGAGGGCCACGAAAATGAGGTCAAGTGTACGGCATGGAACCCAGATGGGCGTCTCATCGCCACATGCGGGCGCGATAGGTACGGCACAGTACTTTTTCCGTACATAAACTATGGACCCTGCCGTACACATTCCTGGTTATGCTTTGCAGAATCTCCGTTCCATTTTTCCGTTTATGCGGTGGCCGAGGAACACGGGGGGGCTGGAAGGGAAGGTAGAGGGGGAAAGTAATTTCTGAGCATTGTGGGTCGTTAAACATCTTGAAGATCGTACCTACCTGTACGACACCTGACCTGACCTGCCCTTCCCAGCCGCCCCGTCTCCCTGCCGTACATCCTGCCGTACCCGCCTTCTCCGCAGATCGGTGTGGATCTGGGAGTCCATGCCGGGTCGCGAGTTTGAGTGTGTGGACGTCAAGCAGGTACGAATAAGCGCGTGTCTGTGTGTATAGGGGGGTTGCTCCACCCCCACCCCCACCCCAGTACCCCCCACCCCGAAAACCCTCACCCCGTCACTGTCACGGCATTCCCCCCCCTGGCTGTGTTTTCCGCTAGCTGTTTTCCACCCCATCCCACCCCATCCCCCTACGCCGTCCCTCGGGCCCCTCGGGCCCACCGGTAGGGAAAAACCCAAACCCCCTAACCCCCACCCCCCGACCTCCCGGCGGGTGTTGACCCCCCACCCCTTTAAAACCCCCACACCCCAAAACACACAAACACGCACAAACCTCTTACACACTCAAAACTCCCCCACCCCCCCACCTCTCAACCCCCCCCCTCACCCCCCCCTCAGGGACACACGCAAGACGTTAAGGTGGTCCGTTGGCATCCCGGGGGGGAGTTGTTGGTTAGTGCCGGGTACGACGACACCATAAAGCTCTGGAGCTATGACGGGGACGAGTGGGGGTGCAGCCAGACACTGGGAGGTGAGTGAGCTGTACGGCAGGTAGTTTCTCCCCCCACCACCACCACCACGTGCTGCATCGTGCAGTTGCAGTTATCCCCCGCCATCCCTCCCCTTCCCCCCGTGTCGTACATATCCTGATTAGGGTACGGCCCCGGCTCCGGTCACAGCTCCACGGTTTGGGACGTGTGTTGGGACCCCCCCGGCCAGCGACTCGCCTCTTGCAGTGACGACCTCACCGTGAAGATATGGGGGAGCAGGAGCAGGATGAAGACGACAACAACAACAACAACAACGATAGGTGGTTCAGGAGCAACAACAGCAACAGCAGCAGCAACAGGGGGGCCGGCGGTGCGGGCGGGGCCCGCGGTGGCGCATGATGATGATGATGGTGGTGGCGGTGGTGGCGGCGGTTTGTCGCTCAGTTCCGCCCGGCCCGACCTCCGGTGCGAGGTCACCCTCAGCGGCCACCACACGCGGACCATCTTCTCCCTGGACTGGGGCTCCCACGGCCTCATTGCTACGGGTAGGGGTGGGGGGGGGTGGGGGGTGGAGGGGGGCTGTTAGTAGGGTGTTAGCGGGTTTGGTTTGATGGAAGGGACTGGAGATAGCTGTCTGTGTTTGTGTGTGTATGTAGGTATATATGTATGTACGTGGGTTTCATTAGATTGTACGCTGGTGGGACATATATATATACGTACATACATACATACATACATACATACATACATACATACATACATACATACATACATACATACATACATACATACATACATATGGTGCCTGGCCATGTGGGCCTGATGTGGTGCCCGCTCTCCTCTCCCTCCCGCACCCTGCCGACCCTCCTGTGGGGTGGCTGCGTGTCCTGATCAGGCGATGGCGAGGATTGCATTTGCGTGTTCGGGCGGGGGGATCCGGAGCTCTTGCGTCTACAGCTGCGGGCGGAGGAAGAGGAACGGGAAACGCGCGGGGGGTTGAGCCAGGTGGAGGTGGAGGAGGAAGGGGAGGGGGCGGGGAAGAAGGGAGAGGATGGTGGTGAGGAGTTGGAGAGCGGAAAAGTACGGACCACCACCACCACCACCACCTCTGCGGTTGCTTCTTCGACGGTGATGATTGCGACGACGACGACAACGTCGGCCGAGATGGGGACAGCGGCGGCACCGAACGGGGGTGATGAAGAGATGGCGGATGTTGAAGCCTCGGGTGGAATTGATGCCGGTGTTGATGCCGGTGTCGGCAGCGCTGCCGTACATTCTGGCGGGGTTTCGGGGGGAGGAGCTGTTGAGGTGGTGGGGGGTTGGCGACGTGGCGAAGGGCGGACTGGACGTCGTGATGCCGCGGGCGAGTCCCTCGGCCCGGGGGGGGTTGGGGGGGCCTCAAATGGGGAGAGCGGGGGGGCTCAGGAGTCCTGGGGTTTGTGGGTGCGTGTGGAGGGGGCGCATGACGGCGATGTGAACTGCGTGCGGTGGCACCCTGTGGAGCCCCGGCTGCTTGCGTCTTGCTCGGATGATGGCCTTGTACGGCTGTGGTGGCTCAAATAGATCTCTGGATGATCTATCTAAATGATCTATCTGGATGATCTATCTGAATGATCTATCTAAATGATCTATTTGCATGGAAAGAGGGTCAGGGTGAGGGGGATGTGGAGGGGGCCGGGGCGGGCTGGATTGGAGCGTGGTGGGAGTGTGGGGGAGTGGGGAGTCGATAAGGAAGGGTTGAGGATTGGTTACGAGGTCCCCGGTTCGATGGCTGAGGTTGTCGAGGAAAGGAAAACGGATTGAGTTTGTGGGAGAGGAACAAAAGAGAGAAATATATGGCAGCGACGTGAGAAAGTTTATAATGGTTGGAGAGGTGTTGAAAGGTATGATGGAGGTTGGGAATATGTTACGAATTAGGAAAGTGCTGTTGTTGTGGCAACAAGTGTTTTTTTTGCGCGTTTTGCAGGGGTTGCGAGGTGATGTTTCGAGCTCCTTTGCGTTTTGTCCTTTTTTTACGGCCCTCCTTCTCGGAGTTTCTCTCCCTCTACTCACTCCTCATCAAGATTCCGACCATTCGCCACCTGCGTTTTCCAACATTTTCGTAAATATTCGTACACCAACCACCATAACCACCTCCATACCTACAACCGCTTTGTACGAAGGGACCAGACACGGGGGGTTAAACATGACATAACATAAATCGAGTCGGCAGCCCGGAAGGGTCCTTTTTTTAGGTTTTGGGGGTTGGACTTGGGGGCAAAGGCGGTGGATGCGGCGGTGGATGTCCGTGGTGCTACTGGTCGTTACTTTCCCCCGCCTGGTGTACCCCCGGGAGTGCAATTCAAGCGGGCTGCGGCATCACCACTACTGTCGGAGAACATTCCCTCGCGTCGCTTTTCTACTCTTCCGCTTATCCCCCCGCTTCTTCTTCTCCTTCTTGACTGTATCTTCTCGACTGTGGCGCCCCTCGCGGGTCCTTACTGACCCGGTGAACCCCCCCATTCGAGAAGCAGTAGACGTCAATCACCCGGGGGGGGGAGGAGGAGGAGCACCAGCCGGTGGGAGATAAGAGTCAGGGGCAACGGGGGCAGTATGCCATACATGTAAACATGTGCTGTTACGGTTTCCCGCTCGTCCGTCACTGAATGTTGGTTTGTTGGCAAGTTGGTTGGTTGGTTGGTTGGTGGTTCTTTTGAGTTATGTCTTCTGCTGTGTCTGGATGGCGGTCGGTGGGCGGGCCTCTTACCGTACATAACTAACAACTAACGACTTCCATGACCCACCTCAGAAGTGTAAAAATATATTTTTACAATGTAAGGATATATCACATGGCATTGATTCACAGCGTACCACATATGTACAGACAGTAGATTCCGACGTCATATTCCGACAATCCTGCGGGCGGCAGCTACACAACCAAACCAAACCATACAACTACCTTTTTCATCAGTTTTGACAACTACCTTTTGCCGACTACTTTTTCCATCAGTTTTGCCGGCATTGTGTAAATGATAAAGCAATTTGATCCCAAGCATGTTTGCACCCCGCACTTCACACCGAGCGCATCGCATAATTATAAAAGGGTTTTAGAGTTTACCCCCCCCCGCGCCCCCTTACCCGGCGTTTCCCCCCTGCCCTAACCACGAGACTCAAATGTGGAACGTCGCACCCCCTAGGCCCTGGGCCACGAGACTCGGTTCGGATCGTGCACACGAGTTACTCTTTACTTTACTAAACCCCCTTGTCGCCCTTCCTTATAGTGCGCCATGAAAAAGGGGACGTGAGCCAGCGTCCACAGGAGTCCTAAGACCCTAAGTAATATCGACTGTGGAGACGTTCCGGCTGAGATGACTCCACCCATAGCCCCAGCCCCAGCGGCTGGCCCAGCCATCCACCCAAACACGTCGTCTTCAGAGAGTCATACCACCCACGACCAACTCCCCCTCCCCCGGGGGGAGGCTAGCTGTTCCCCCCGGGTCGCCGAGTGCCTTCCGTGTGTATACGCACCGGGCGTGGAGTGCTCCCTCCCTGGAGCGCCCAATAAAACACAAACGAACGAATACATGTATATATGTATGTATACATATATGTAGCTCTTCCCACATCCAACTCGCCATCTCGTCTCTCCCATCATCTCTGCGCCTCTCAGTCCTCCGACCCCCAGCACCTCGCCCAGTCAGACAGACAGACAGGCAGGCAAACGAGCGAATTGCCTGTTGCGACATTAAATAACAAACAAAGCCACCAAAAGCAGCCCAGGTGGTGTTGATTAGGGTGGGAAACAACAGCACTGACGATTGCATGGATGTGCAGACGTAATGTGTATGTATGTGTGTGTGTCAAAGTACCTAATGCCCTGCGGCGGCGAGGACTGCAGACGCGAGCGGGCTAGCACGAGCTGTATCCGCCAAGTGGTGGCGCGCCGGAGACCGCTGTGTCGTGTCACGACATTTTGATGCTACACTCGTACGACGCGACAGCTGACCAACCATCTACCTGTCCAGCCACAAGAGACTCGGACGGAGCACGCGGGAATTCACACCAGTAGGCTGCGCATCACTACCAGCCTTATTTTTCCTTTTACAGCATCTTTGCACGCCTGTACGCTGGTGGTGTGGTGTACAGCAGTACACAGCTACTGCAGTACACTCCGCATTAAGGTGCATTCATCCTATAGATAATCCCAAGGTCACTGAAGGGCCCATATCGGCAATTGACGTATGTACGGTGCTCCATTCACATCGCTTCCGTAGTAATGGCGAGCAAGCACTCCCAACCTGACCTGGCCATTTGAGCATATTGCTGACTGTAGTAAAAACAGCAGCGGTAGCACGCAGAGGCTGTAGCAGCGTCTGTAGCATCCCATCGTACGGCAATCATAACCTCAGATGTCTCTGAAGCTGCTTCTATGTAAAGCGTCATGAGCCAGCGGCGGCGGCAAGTCCATGTACGACACCCATGAGTCTGCCACCGACGGCGGGCTGAATGATGCCGCCGTACCTACACTCCCCGGCGCCGCCGCTACAGCCACGATCTCCGGCTGCAACGACCCTGCAGTCAAATGGATCGACCCCGCCCGGGACGCCGACATGATCTCCGCCTCCGCCACCGCTGAAGGTCCACCTGCGACGGTGTGTACGGCAGCAGTGACGACGGCGGTCTGACGGGTCGCCACGCTGGCCGGTTGCTGTGTATTGTGTGCCGGTCCCTCGGCGATGAGCTCCCGCATCAGCTTGGACTCCGGGGCGAACCTCTGTGGGCGCGTGAGGATAGAATATAATAGCAAGTACGGAAATCTGTACGGAAGTGTACGACATTGTATGATGATGTACGACAGTGACCTATACAAATATGGATGTGTAAGGAGGGGTAGCATAACCTATATCAAAGCGGCCCAGGAGATGGGAAGGAGCCGTCCACCGTTACCCAGCTCCCAACCAACCCCAACCAACCCAACCAACCCCAACCAACCCAACCAACCCAACCAACCCCAACCAACCCCAACCAACCCCAACCAACCCAACCAACCCCAACCAACCCAGAACTCACACTGCGCCTGCGCATCAGCAACACCGCGCTGATAACCACCAGCCCCGCAATCACCAGAGCGAGGATGCCGCCAACCACCGCACCAGCAACACTGCCAATACTCAAGCCGCCGCCACTATCACCACCACCACCAGTGCTGCTGCTGCTGACGCTACTGCTGCTCACGCCGGCAGCGCCCCCCGGCGCCACCCGCCCGCTGGCCCCGTCAGCCACGCTCGCTGTGATGCTGCCGCTACTGCCGTCCCCATCAGCGGCAGCTCGGGACGTCCCTGGTTCCGGAGCTGCTGAGTTCGGCTGCAGCTGTGGGCCATCCGCTTTGCTTGGCGGCTGGGTAGCCGCCGGCAACAGAGCCTCTGGTTTCGGAGGGTTCACTTCCACGAATTTATTGGGTTCCCGGTGTGGGCCAGGGGGAAGTGGCTTCATCGCCGCGCTTTCACCACTGCCGTCGGGTGGTTCACGGCCGGCTGAGGGGGATTGGGGTGGGATGTCCTTAACGGGCGGCAGCGGCGCTTTGGCCAGATTACCGCCGCTGCCGCTGCCGCCGCCGCCGCTGGAGCTAGGGCCTGGCGTCGGCGGACTCGTACTGGCGCTCGGTCCTTTGCCTGGGGACCCGCTGCCGCTGCCGCCGCTGCCGCCGCCGCCGCTGGTGTTAGGGCCTGACGTCGGCGGGCTCGTACTGGCGCTCGGTCCTTTCCCTGGGGACCCGCTGCCGCCGCCGCCGCTGCCGCCGCCGCCGCTGGTGTTAGGGCCTGACGTCGGCGGGCTCGTACTGGCGCTCGGTCCTTTCCCTGGGGACCCGGTGCCGCTGCCGCCGCTGCCGCCGCCGCCGCTGGTGTTAGAGCCTGACGTCGGTGGGCTCGTACTGGCGCTCGGTCCTTTCCCTGGGGACCCGCTGCCGCCGCTACCGCTGCCGCCGCCGCCGCTGGTGTTAGGGCCTGACGTCGGCGGGCTCGTACTGGCGCTCGGTCCTTTCCCTGGGGACCCGCTGCCGCCGCCGCCGCTGCCGCCGCCGCCGCTGGTGTTAGGGCCTGACGTCGGCGGGCTCGTACTGGCGCTCGGTCCTTTCCCTGGGGACCCGCTGCCGCCGCTACCGCTGCCGCCGCCGCCGCTGGTGTTAGGGCCTGACGTCGGCGGGCTCGTACTGGCGCTCGGTCCTTTCCCTGGGGACCCGCTGCCGCCGCTACCGCTGCCGCCGCCGCCGCTGGTGTTAGGGCCTGACGTCGGCGGGCTCGTACTGGCGCTCGGTCCTTTCCCTGGGGACCCGCTGCCGCCGCCGCCGCTGCCGCCGCCGCCGCTGGTGTTAGGGCCTGACGTCGGCGGGCTCGTACTGGCGCTCGGTCCATTCCCTGGGGACCCGCTGCCGCCGCCGCCGCTGCCGCCGCCGCCGCTGGTGTTAGGGCCTGACGTCGGCGGGCTCGTACTGGCGCTCGGTCCATTCCCTGGGGACCCGCTGCCGCCGCCGCCGCTGCCGCCGCCGCCGCTGCCGCCGCCGCCGCTGGTGTTAGAGCCTGACGTCGGCGGGCTCGTACTGGCGCTCGGTCCTTTCCCTGGGGACCCGCTGCCGCCGCTACCGCTGCCGCCGCCGCCGCTGGTGTTAGGGCCTGACGTCGGCGGGCTCGTACTGGCGCTCGGTCCTTTCCCTGGGGACCCGCTGCCGCCGCTACCGCTGCCGCCGCCGCCGCTGGTGTTAGGGCCTGACGTCGGCGGGCTCGTACTGGCGCTCGGTCCTTTGCCTGGCGACCCGCTGCCGCCGCTACCGCTGCCGCCGCCGCCGCTGGTGTTAGGGCCTGACGTCGGCGGGCTCGTACTGGCGCTGGGTCCTTTGCCAGGGGACCCGCTGCCGCCGCTACCGCTGCCGCCGCCGCCGCTGGTGTTAGGGCCTGACGTCGGCGGGCTCGTACTGGCGCTCGGTCCTTTCCCTGGGGACCCGCTGCCGCCGCCGCCGCTGCCGCCGCCGCCGCCGGTGTTAGGGCCTGACGTCGGCGGGCTCGTACTGGCGCTCGGTCCTTTCCCTGGGGACCCGCTGCCGCCGCTACCGCTGCCGCCGCCGCCGCTGGTGTTAGGGCCTGACGTCGGCGGGCTCGTACTGGCGCTCGGTCCATTCCCTGGGGACCCGCTGCCGCCGCCGCCGCTGCCGCCGCCGCCGCTGGTGTTAGGGCCTGACGTCGGCGGGCTCGTACTGGCGCTCGGTCCATTCCCTGGGGACCCGCTGCCGCCGCCGCCGCTGCCGCCGCCGCCGCTGGTGTTAGGGCCTGACGTCGGCGGGCTCGTACTGGCGCTCGGTCCATTCCCTGGGGACCCGCTGCCGCCGCCGCCGCTGCCGCCGCCGCCGCTGGTGTTAGAGCCTGACGTCGGCGGGCTCGTACTGGCGCTCGGTCCTTTCCCTGGGGACCCGCTGCCGCCGCTACCGCTGCCGCCGCCGCCGCTGGTGTTAGGGCCTGACGTCGGCGGGCTCGTACTGGCGCTCGGTCCTTTACCTGGGGACCCGCTGCTGCCGCCGCCGCTGCTGCCGCTGCCGCCGCCGCCGCTGGTGTTAGGGCCTGACGTCGGCGGGCTCGTACTGGCGCTCGGTCCTTTCCCTGGGGACCCGCTGCCGCCGCTACCACTGCCGCCGCCGTTGCCGCCGCCGCCGTTGCCACCCCCGCCGTTGCCGCCACAGTCGTTGCCGCCGCCGCCGCTGTCGCCCCTGGAGCTAGGACCTGACGTCGGGCGACTCGTACTGGCGCTCGGTCCCGCAAGCGGTTCTGCACCGCCGCCGCCGCCGCCGCCGTCGCCGCCGGTTTCTGGGCGCTGGTGACAGACCGCCCGGGCTCGCGCTGGAGTGTGATCCGGTGCCTGGGGGCCTTCCTTGCGCGCATCTTGTATTTCGCATTCTTTATTATCGCCTGCTGGCTTGGTAGATCCGTGACTCCATTTCGTCCACCGAGGTATGCGGATCCTTGGCCGTTTCCGTTTTTGCCGCTCTTGACTGGCGCTTCACAGGAATTCTTGCTTTTCCTTGGCACGCGTTAGATTGCCGCTTTTGGGTGCCCATATGCTGGTCTCTGTATGGCGGCGAAAGTCTTTGATTGTCGCTTTTTTGGAGTCCTTTTTGCTTTTTGCCGTAAATTTTTTGGTACACTCCGTTTTGGCCTCTTTTGCTCTTCCGGCTTTTTTCCCTATTTGTTCCCTCCCATCCCTTGTCAGGCAATCAGTCATCTTCTATGTTTCATCATGCGATTTCAACCCTCCTTCCTATTTTAATGCTTCCCTTTGTTTCCCTTTTATCTTCCCCCCATTTTCCCCCTTCGTCCCTTGTCACCGCGCCTCCC